CTCACAGTTGAAGTGTACCTCTGGTGCAAATTACTGACCTCTGTCATCATTTTAAGTGGGGGAACTTGCACAATCGGTGGCTGACTAAATACTTTTTTGCACCACTGTATGTCTGTTGGATCAATGTGTAAGTTTAGCAATATCCCTTCCAGGACACAATACCTGAAATCAATGGAATATTTTTTTGCTAAGACATAGTAAAGCCATTAGAGCTACAAGTGCCAATCACTTTCATAAAGACATTTCCTCAATGCTGTCTGTATGACTTTTTTTGCTGTGTAAAACCTATCAATACAAACAAAGCCTAAGCTTAGTGATTTTTAAACAGTAGTTAGAATAAAAACAACACCTCATCAATCAACATTATGTGTATCAGTCAAAAATGTGTTACAACTGTGTTGTGTATGTGTGTGTACCTGGTTTGCTATAAAGAAACTGTAGGCTTTCAAGTTGTACATCAAAGCTATCGTAAGCTCTGGACATGATGTCCTCAATGTTGCTGGAACTCACACACAGCTGAGGTAGATGTTTCCTGCTTTGACTGGACATCTGTAAAACCACAGAAACATGAAGGCATATATTGGTAAGTTATCTTTGATTTCGAGCCTGCTGTCAATCTTTATTCACATTTGACACTTCCCCACCTTGAAATGACCAAGATCCAACAGCAAGATGTTCTGAGTGCCATTGTAAAAACCGGTCTGTGGAATGATCACGTAGGAGGCCATCAAGTTCACCTTCAGGTCGAGAACCTTCTGTGTTTCAATCACATACAGTAAACCTGAAATATAAAATGTTAATAGGTCATCAAGTACTTTTGTCTCCAAAGGTGGGTGAATTTTATTGTTGTGGGATTCATAAAATTAACTAAATGTGTGGTTTTGTTTAATGAACCCTGAGATTCTATTAATTTAAGTAATGTTTAAATGGCAAATTCACCTAAAAGTTCTAATAAGGAGAAAACTTCAATAATGAAAAAAAAAAAAAAAACCTTGAAAAATCTTCCAAAGCTCTCAGGAAACAATCACTTTCAAGAACATAAACAGGAAGACTAAACAAGGAATGTAAACATTCGCCCATCAAAGACGTCCTTAGAGATCCTAGAAGATTAATCATGATAGCAGATATCTGCAGTTTATCTTAAACTCACCAGTGGCTGTGCGGTCTCTAAACTGCTCCAGTTTCATCAGGGTTGCATTCGTGAGCTCATCCAGCTGCATGTCATCAGGAGGCCTGAAGAACGCTGATATGCTGTTCACAGTTATCTACACAGACACACAGAGTCAAATATGTATATATGTACTGCTTTTGAGGGTTTTTATTTTTGCTGCTCATTCACACTCAGTGAACCACTCACAGCATCATAGATGATTTCCAAGGGTTGTGATTCTACGTGAAGCCGCTGGTTAGCGCTCTCGTCCAGGGGGTTGGTCTCAAACAGGATACAAAGCAGTGGGGTCCCTGCTCCTATGGCTGCCTTCCTTGATGAAAGGAGAATTGGTGGAGGTTGCTTATTGGTGAGGCCAGTGACCTCAAACAAAGTAAGCTTGGCTGTGATTCTGGGAAGAAAAGAAAAAAACAAAACAAACCACACACACACACACACACACACACACACACACACACACACACACACACACACA